CCCCCTGGCCTCCTGTGAGAAAAGACTACCTAAGGGTGTGTACCCTAAGGCCACACCCTGGAAATGACTTGATGCCACAAAACAAGAGAGGAACCCTGAGCTCTTCGCCTTTACACTTTTCTGAATGCAGACCCTTCTCCTGTTCACTAGAGTGATTTCTCCAAACGCTAACTCGTTCTAATCCTCCTCTCGCTGCCCACTGTGCCCACTGTTCAGTGCTGCTCCCCTGGGCTTCCCTTATGAAGATGTACTGTCAATAAAATCACTGTTAGTCTCCCTCTCTCTCCATGGGGGGATCTCCATTAGGTACCAAAGGGCTCCTGGGCCAAACATTTGGAAAAACCAAAAAAACTCACCTTTACTGCCATTGAGACAACGCTGACTCCTAGCAACCTTGGAGGATGGGGTACAGCTGCCCCTTGAGTTTCTGATACTGAAACTATTTGCAGGAGTAGACAGTCCTGTCTTGCTCCCGCGGAGCGGAGCGGCTGGTGCTTTCAAACCGACCGCAGCTAGCAGCCCACCGCATCCCCACGACACCACCCGGGCGTCTGGGCAACTGAAGTGCCTCATAAATAATGTGGTAGCGATGACTCTGTGTTCAAGAGGGGCTTTGTTGTTACTGTTTTCACTCACATGCCATTGCACATTGGCACTACTTTTAAATGGCAAGCTTGGTTCGAGGGCAGCGGTGTTCAGTGAAAGGAAGTCTCCATTCTTCTTTTTAAAATCATTTTATGGAGCTCTACTTCCATTCTTTACCTATCATATTTGTACCTCATAAAAGGTCACTATGAGGTAAAAATTAACAAGTCGTGGGATCTATTTAAATAATCAATGTGCTCAACGAATTAAAATTTTCTTAGAATGGTAAAAATCATTTAAGAGGCTTAGAATTTTAAAATAAAGGCAATACTATATTAAAATGCTGTTTTGCATATTAGGTTTTCCGGGTTCAGATTCAAACTCCCTCCTTTCTGCCTCTATCTTAAGATTTCTTGTAGGTATTAAATGAGCTAATGCATGAATAAGGAATGAAGGGAGCTGTCATGATTATTCTACATAATGGTTTGGTCTTGCGTTGTTGTGAGAGGCCAGTGAGTCAGTTCAGGCAGAACAAAAGACTGCTTGCTCCTGTGCAATCCTCCCAGTTCTTGTTATGTTTGAGTCTGTAGTTGCATCCACTGTGTCATTCTATCTTGGTGAGGATCTTCTTTTGCTGGCCCGCTACCAAGTATAATGTCCTTTTGCAGGGACTGATCTCTCTGGATAACACGTGCAAAGTTCCTGAGGCAAAGTCTCACCATTCTCGTTTCCAAGGAGCATCCTAGCAATACTTCTTCCAAAACAAACTGTGCTTTGAGAAGCAAAGCATTCTACAACTACTGTCTATGTGTAGTTCAACAGGAAACTCACTGCTGACTCACAGTGATGCTATAGGACAGGGAGGAACTGCCTCTGTGGGTTTCGGAGATCTTTACAGAAGTGAAAGCCTCCTCCTTCTCCAGAGGAGCAGCTGGTGGTTCCGTACTGCTGACTTTCAGATTATCAATCAATGTGTAACCCCGTGCCACCAGGGCTCCCGAGCTCAAGAATGAAATTAATTGTGCTGATTACTCTGAAGGAAATTTCCAAATTATTTTCATTCATGACGGCTTTTGACCATGTTATTAGTATGCATAAGCCAATCAAATTAATTTGAGTCAACACAATACCAAATGTATTTAGCTGAAAACTATTACCAAGAGCCATTATCTTTTCACTTCGTAAAAAGTACTTGTATGTGCGTATGTTCCTTAGAAATGTTTAGAATAGGGACAAAGGTTATAGTTTTGACTATTTTCAGCTATAGAGCATGTGGTGGCTGCTTTTCCAAGATGTCCCTTCTTCTTGAGCCTGATCCATAATTCCTGGCGTTTGTGACCTTTTGCAGTGCCTGCTCCTCAATTTGGGTTGGCTCAATTTTTGAACAATAGCTTTTTGCACTTGCATCACTTCTGAGGCTGGTCTAAAGAAACTTGGCAAAGAAGCCTTCCTCTTAGACAGTAGCTCTGGGACAAGCAAGTCAGACCTCCCTGCTGTAAGGAAGGCAAGGTTGATCACGTGAGGAGACTGTGACGTGAGGGATAGCTGAGCCTGATCAGCACAGGTGCCCGAATGAAGACACCGTCTTGGACATTTCAGATGTGTCTACCTCAGCTGGCACCTGACTGCAAGCTCATGCAAGACCCCAAGAGACCAACTGAGCCCACTTCACCAGCAGAACCAGAGGAGATAACAGATTCAACCACTGAGCTTGGAAGTGCACTGTTAGACTGTGCTAGATAAATTAAACTGAGAATAATGAGAAATGACAAGTCCAAAAATAAGACAAAGAGGTCAGACGCTGGCTGCCTAATGTAGCCTTAAGAAATGAGAGCCAGGTCAGTAGCATGTTATGCCATTAGTGTGGACAAAGCCCAGGAGAAATGCTGTGGCAAATGCCACTTATGAAGACCTCATCTATCTAGTATTGATTTGTGCTTTATGAGCACTGATGTACTTATTGACAATCCATTTGTGTCAATAAGCTACCAGAGACTAGAAAATGCTACCAACCTCCCCACCTCCACCCAGAACAACAAAAACCTCAAATTCAAATACTACTTTGATTTCACCATTAACCAATGATAAAAACTGTCCATGGGCATTTAACTTCATTTCCCCACTATCCCTCCATTCTGTTGTTTTCTGGCTCATAACCGCCATATAAGTCAGAGGAGAACTGCCCCAATGACTTCCTACGCTGAATTTTTATGGGTCAAGAGAAGAGACAAACATTCAAAGATCCAAAACTCTTTCTTCCATGAAACCAATGCAAAATAGAATCAAGGGACAAAGGGGAGAGAGAAAACAAATTTAATAAATTGTTATAAGGACTTCTGTTAACCAACTCGGTGTACCTTCACTCCTTTATAGATCTTGGATCACTGGATCAATGCCAGTCCATAGGAGAACATCTAACCCAACTTCCTGGCCATCTCGCAATGATGCCCACCAGCAAGCCTTTTGATACTGAGTGAAGACAAAAAGTTCTTGGCCTAAACTTTACATTTTTTAAAATATTTTCTTGCCAGAGGACTTTCTGTCTTTTTGAAGTTTCTTTTGCATATAATTTTCTTATAATATTTTTTTACGTTGAGACATTTGCCAAGTGTTATAGATTGAGTTGTGTCTCTCAACACATACATGAAAGCCCTAATCCTTTAATACTTGTCAATTAAACAGGCTCATTTAGAATAGGTATTTTCTTTTTTTTTTTAGGAAGCCATATCAGAATAGAGTGGGTTTTTAATCTATTCACTGTTGGAGCAGAGAATAATGGGTGTGCGCACCCAGAGGGAAGACAACAGCCCAAGGAGGACCAGTGGGCAAGCGAAGGTATACCCATGATTGCCCAGAGACGTCTGAACGAGGGAAGGGGAGAAGCACATGGAAGCATCTACCTGGCTGAGACCCTCACGTAGACTCCCTACCTCCAGGGCTGTGATCAAACAGACTTCTATTCTGTAAAGCCACTGCTTGTGGTCCTTGTTGTTATGAGCACACCATATCATGAAGACACCAAGGAGGGCTCTTACTGCTTTTCCAGCGATGGAAACATTTCCACCCAAACGCTGGAGACCTGAAACCTCGAGAAAGTCCCACAGTACCACGTTATTTTGTGAGAAACTGTTCAGGAATGCTTAGCTCCTCTGTGGTGAAGGGCGGACTCTCCTCAGGTCAGGGCATTGGACCAGTGTAACACTGGATGAATGGTACGAAACACCTGCAAATTAATTCTACAAAAACCCCAAATTAACAGGAATTTTAAAAGGCTAGATTAGGAAGAATAAAGGGGAACGTAGTCTCGATACACTACGGATTTATTAAGAGTCAGGATCAACTAAGAGTTGCAGATTCGCAGTTAATGAATGAAAGTTAAAAATCTGAATTCATTTTGTCCCCCTGAGAAACATGCTCTTTTTGATTGTAATATAGCAAAGAGAGGAAATGAAAGACTATTGGAAGAAATCCTTTAACCACTTTGGTCTACCTTATAGAACAGCAGAATGAGATCACACTGCATAATCAACACTAATATTTATTGAGCACTTACTATAGTTGGTGTTTTACATATATTATTTTGCTGAATCTTCACAACCTTACGAGAAAAGGTTGTTGTTGCCGTTTTCTGTTCCTACTGGTTACCTAAGGTCGTGGATTAGGGATAAGTCCAAGTTCAAAATCAGTTGACTTGGCTACCAAGCCCTACTTTTAACGGCTGTGGCACAGTGGCTAGAGGAAAACTAGAATCACGTTCAACAAATCCTATAAGCAACTGGAAAGACGAAATGTAAGCCTCAGGCGGGTAGAAGGGTTTCCCTTGTTTTGTTTCCTGCTTTATTCCTAGTGCGCCGAGCAGTGTGTAGTGAATAGTAAATGCTCAATAAATGTGGAGAAGGAATAGAAGGTTGGTGACTGATTTCGGAGAAAAGAGCAATTTTACTGGAGCAAGGAGATGGAGGGAGACTTACTTTTTACCGTAAACTCTTGTACCTTGGGGATTTTGTACCATGTGCATCTATTACCTATTCAAAAAATGGATAAAATTAACAAAAGAAAAAATACAGGGGCTACAAGTACATCAGACAAGTTGTGTGTCCCATCCACCAGGAAGAGTCTTAGGATGCACAAAGGACTGCCAGGTCAGGGTTAAGATGTGTATGTCTTTTTCCAGTGGTTTCTGGGAAGCATGACGAGGAAGTTCAACACTTCCTAGTGTTCAAGTTATGTAAGATATTAAAACCAAAAAAAAGCGAGAGAGATTAAAACCAGCAAAACTCACTGCCATTAAACCAATTCCGACTCATAGCAGCCCTGTAGTAGAGGGCAGTGTTGCTCCAGTGGGTTTCCCAGACTGTAAATATTTATGAGAGTGAAATCCTTGCTGTTCTCCCTCAGAGTTGCTGGTGGTTTTGAACTGCTGACCTTGCTGTTAGCAATCCAATGCTTAACCTACTCCACAACTCCTATTTAAGAGATTCGAATGTCTGACCCATTATACCACCCCTATTTAAGAGATTAGAACAGACAAAATAAATAGTAAGGTAGGAAGGAGATTCACATCATTCATGTGGGACTTCTTATCTAAGGAGAGTACATTTAGTGTATATTTGTCAGATGGGAAATATGTCATTAAAAGATCAACTTCAGCAACTGAATTTACCGAGGGAAGTGCTTGTCAAAATACAATGTGTATTTGCCTCAGCGTGGGACCTGGAATTCTGTATTTCACAATAGCTAAAAAGTAAAAAAAGTTCATCAACGGGAGAATGGTTAACAAAATGTGGCGTATGTACAATGGAATATTACTCAGCCAAAAATAAGAATGGTGTCTTGATGAATGTTACAACGTGAATGAACTTAGAGGGCAGTAAACTGTGTGAAACATGTCAGACAAAGAAGGCTAGATGCTGCACGGTATCATGTACATGAAATAATCAATTATACAAATCCCATTGCCATCAAGTTTATTCCTGCTCCAAGTGACGATGCACAGGGTTTCCATGGCTATATAACAAAGTAGCAGACAGCTTCCCTTGGCGGGTTTGAACTGCCTACCTTGTGGTTGTGGTTAGCAGCCCAACACCTAACACACAGCATCAGCAGGGATCTTAAATACTTATATAAAAACTCAAAACCCATTGCTATTGAGTCAATTTCAACTCATGGTGACCCTGTGTAAAGTTTCCAAGGATGTAAACCTTCACAGGGCAGATAGATTTATCTTCCTCCACGGAGTAGTTGGTGGGTTTGAACCAACAATCTCACAATTACTAGTCCAACGCTTATGATATGAAAAAATTTAAACAACAAAAACAAATTCACTGCCATTGAGTCAGTACCAACTCATAACAACCATAGAGAAAAGGAATGAATTGCCCCTGTGGGTTTTCAATATTTCAACTCTTTACAGGAGTAGAAAACCTCCTTTTCCTCCGAAGGAACTGCTGGTGGTTTCAAACTGCTGACCTTGTAGTTAGCAGCACTAACTGTGCTGCTGTGTTTCACTTTGTGTAAACTCTATGCCGGAGGGCCTCCTTGTTTATGATACAGAAAATATAAGTGCTTTGAAGTTACCAGGGGCAGGAAAGAGGGGGGCATTTCTTAGAATAAATTAAAGGAATGTCAGTGGTAGGGAAATAATTTGGAAAAAGATAATGAGAATGTTGCATCACCTGAAGAATATAGTCTACTTCACTGAAGTGTACATATAGAAATTTGATTAGATGCTTTGTTTTGTTGTGTGTATATTGCTATAAAAAGCGATAAAATGTGTACCTCAGCCAACATCTAAATAACAAATTGTCAGCACAGAGAGTTCAAATAACTACATTTTCTCACATGATTGCTTTTCCTTGATCCCAGTATTTTTATCCTCAAGAAAACAAGGAGCAAGGAGTGGGTCGAGGAATGGAGTGGAAGGTGGTTGGTTTAGAAAACTTAAGTTCTCTTTTAGAGTTACATAATAATTCTGAGAAAGTAAGTTACATTCCAGGGCTGTCTTCCAAAAATAAATAAATAACAACCCCCCCCCCAATATATATATATATATAGTGAGGCTTCATGTGAGGATATTCGGATGCTCACAGGAGAGAGCTGATGTGCAACAAGGGAATCGTACCCTTGCTTCACAGGCTCGCGTGTGTGCTGCAGGTCCTTCCGGGGGAGGCCCACGGAGACACCCTCAGGAATTAGTGGTCAGCGGGCAAGAGGAAGAGGGGAAGCGGCCTTCCAATGAGAAGATGACAGGCCAGTGGCCGCCCTGTTCTTTTCAGTCCCCTGGCTGCCCCAGGCCGGACAAGCAGACGGCGGGGCCTTGGAGACAACGGTGTCCCCTTTGAGAGGCAGCTGCTGGCCTCGGTGCTTGTGCTTTCAAAGCATAAGTACTGGAGTTTATTACTTTCTTGCTTTCCGCCTTTAAATGTGAGAACTATGGGGTAAGTTGAGGAAATGTGAACAAAGAGTAAAACGGATCCGATTCAGGAGTCCTGTGTGGTACCAACGGTGCACACACTTGGCTGTTCACGGCAAGGTTGGAGGTTCAAGGCTACTTGGAGGCATCTCAGAAGAAAGGCCAGCTGATCAGCTTCTGAAAAATGAACCGCTGGTGGAATCCCCAGAGCTGTCTTTCAGCCTGGAAAGGACCTCATCCTGGACAACAGACTTGCAGCCAAACAACAGACAAGGCTGGATGGTGAGCGGCACTTCGGAGGGCCACGCACTCCTCAGAACCACCAAGCTCACCGATCTGCAGCCTTTGCTCGAAGCTGAGAAGGCAGCGAACGACGAGCAAGAAAAGAAGGACAGTGGAAATGGGAAAGGGGGAGGGGGGGGGGGCTACCGTTACCTTGCCAGGATTGCCGTCAATGTCCCCAAACAAAATACGTGTTACCCGTTTAAAATTGTAAAACTAATTTGTTCTGTAAACTGTCATCCAAATCACAAGTCGAAACAAACAAAACAGGCACCACCAACCCTATGGAGCTCAAATCAACACGGGAGGTGGGTATGAATCAACTTGAGGGGGACGGGACTGGTTTAGGAAAGCTGAAGATGACGTGTGTTGCAGTTCTGAGGGGGTCATATGGACCTATTGTGGGGAAAGCATTCTTTCCTTCCTTTCCCTGTGTCTAGCTGCTCCTGCTGTCACCATCTTTATTAGGTGCCATCAAGTTGGTTCTGACACATGGCAATGTCATGTCATACAGTAGCACGCCTCATGGGGTGTTCTTGGCGGTAGTCTTTACAAAAGAAGACAGCCTAGCCTTTTCTCCTCTGCAGGGAGTGGGGAAGTTCCAGTTGCATAGATTTTGTGAAAAATGCAACACTTAATCCTCTGTGCCACAAGGCTTTGGCCCTGTGGGTGGGCACCAAGCAATCCGGTGCCCATCAGATTGTCGACCAGCCTCTTCAACAACAACAAGTGACTATTCTCCCAAAGAACACAGGACACTTTGCTTTGGGTAGGTTTTTTTTTAAGAATATAAAATCAATTTGATCCTTTACTCTTACACATGAGTCTGTTCTTTCTGGCTGGGTGTGCTGCTGTTGGGAAACTGTACAATAGTTTACTGCTCCTTAATCTAGGCTAGATATGGTTTCTAAAGTAAGCTCGCATGAGTCAGTGCTGGGGCTTTTCCAGGCGTAGTAATGAGAAACGTCCCCTGTGATCTTGGTTTGGGTGAGTAAACAAACCCATCCCAGAACAGAAAAATAGTTCAGTGTCTTTCCTGTGAAGACTTTTTTTTTTTAAAGGAAAGATACAGTATTATGGCAGCCACTATAATATTTCCATAATTTTGTATATAGTCATAGATAGTTTTTAACCCCAATTCATAAAATCCCTCTGAGCTATCTAAGATCAGATATTATAATGCATTTGACTTGATCAAATGAGCATGAGTCTAAAGACAAAATCCAGGTATAGAGAAGCAAATAGAACTATTTTCATTATCTAAAATCTATGCCACCTGTGAAGAAGTGTAAGTGATAAATTAATTACCAACAGTCAACTGGCCCTGTGCAATCAGGCACGAAACTGTTGGTTTTTACTTACAGATAAATTAGGTTATCTAACCGAAAAGTGGATGAAGGGAGATGTCGGACAGGGCAAGATATGACAAAATACCCATTTATAAACTATCAAGGGCTCATGAGGGAGCGGGGAGGGAGGGGAAAAATGAGGACCTAATGTCGGGGGTTTAAATGGAGAGAAAATGTTTTGAGAAACGATGTACAAATGCGCTTTACACAATTGATGTGTGTATGGATTGGGAAAACAGTTGTATGAGCCCCTAATAAAATGTTAAAAAAGAGGAAAAAAAATTAGGTTATCTAAAGTCAAGGTTGCAGGGTCCTGCCAACTTATTACCTTTTTCCACTTTTGGGCCTTCAGGATTATTTGTCCAGCCTCAACCTGAAATCTGAACCCTATTATTCCTGGCTTGTCAGTATCCAAGTATACCAGAACTCTGTGTGTGATACAATAACACAGCCACTCTTCCCCGGTTAAAGACCACGTACACTTTGTGGGCAAGGAGTTGGCTTCCTCCTTTTCTCATACCCAACCATGCTAATGCTTCTGTTCACAATGAAGATGCAGAGTGTGTTCTCAATGGTGCAGAATGTATCAGAGCCCAAAACAATGTGTTAAAGCTACAGGAGGCTCTATAAAATGAATAATTTTCTAAGTCAGAGTTTTCCAAAATGAAATCGGCAGCCTAAGGTTATCTCCATCGATTGAATCATAGGGCAAGAGGGTTCTATAGAGGAGTTTGAATACTGATAGCTGTTTAAATGGAGTGAAGGGACCCCTTTCAATATTAAATCATTCTGTAGTAGGACATCCAAAGCCGTTTGACTACAACATCCCATGGTTATACTATGAAGCTGGAACCAAAATGTTTAAAAAGAAAAGAAAACAAGTCAAGATTTAAAATCTGTTTTTTTTCTTTTTAAATTCTAAGCTGAGTTAAGTCTAAAGGGAAAGATTATAATTTTTAATCAAAGAAATGGATTAATTACAGTCAATTCAAGTAATTCAAATGTCCACATTTTCTGAAATTACTTCATTAACTATTCCCATGTATAAGGCTGCTGTCCTATGTCCATTCAAACTCAGCCCCTCACCAGTGTGGCTCTTTGGGGATATTTTGTTAAAGTATCAATACTTTTTAGGTGTATGATTGTCATATTATACTTCAAAAACATTTCAGTTGGAAAACATACTTTTTGACTTCAGGGTTTTGTTTGTTTGTTTGTCTTTGTATGAGCAAACATCAACAAACATTAGAGCAGCATTGTAAATATATCTTCTACACACAAGCAATCACTCAGAATGTTCCTTGAGAGGGACTGAAATATAACATGACAATAAGGCATACTAGTGTTAAAATGAGAAACTTGTTCAAGATGCCCAATTGGTTAGAGAATAAAGTTCATAGTAGCTGTTTTCTAGAAAAGGAAAGAAGGATGAGTCAACATCTGGAACAGTTTTCAAAACCACATCTACAGACACGGAGAAAGTCCTCCCAGGACCCTACATGGCAACCACGCTCTTCCTGGTGTGCAGTTCTTGGGCACAATGAACTTCAGAATGGGCAGCCACGGGGTACTGACCAGATTAACCTGATTCTAGATCAGATAGGATTTCTAGCAATTTAGGCTTCCAATGAAATGAAGGCCAATCAAAGAAGGAACCAATAATGAAATTAGGGGAAATTATCTAAAGGCATAAAAACACCAGGAATACTAGACTGTCCCAAGAGAAAATACCACATGCAAGATGGCAAGTGGAGGTAGCAATCAGATAGAATGGAGACAGTCCAACTATGAAAGAAACAAAGAAATAAGCAGGAACTCTACTATGACATAGATCTCAGCAAAATCCCAAATTTTGCCATTTGAGTAATATTTATGTAATTCAGTAATAGATCTATATGCATCATGACCTTGACAAATGTTTTAACATTTAGTAAAACAGAAAAGCAAAAAAAAATTTTTTTTCTTTTAAACACAAAGTATAACTAATCATTTCTAGTTTTGGTCAACGTCATGAATTCATTGTTGAAAATTTGAATTTTGTACAAACAGATTTGTTCAGGTGGAGTTTAGGCATTTGCACATTTTCACATAGGAAAATGGATTCCAGGAGAGGTGATTTCAAAAGAAAAAAGAAGACAACCAGTAATACCATATATGCACAAGTTAATTAACTCAAAGGAACATGAGAAAGTTAGTGATGCCAAGAAGTGTTACATTTCAAAGATCGGAAATGAAAGATAAGGTTGGTAATTAAGTTTCATTACAATGAAAGTTCACAAATACCTTCTTCAACATCTGAGATATATTCGCCATCACTGAGCATTTCAGGGGCGTTGGCTTTGCGAACTGCATGATTTAAGTGAACAATGTAAGTGCATAAAATGCATACGCCTGATACAATAATAAAGATTTGAATGCTTCTAAAAACATTTTGTAATACGCTTTCTTCGGGAAACAACATGTGAGTGTTCACAAGTAATTACCATGAACTTAGGTTATTTCCATACCTTCATCATCAGACATATCAAGAACTTCATTCATAGTTTCTGGAACATTCATTTTGTGCTTCTCTGTGACGGTCTAGTTAAAAAAAAAAAAAGCAGTACATTTAGCACAAGCAAATGTCACTTTTTAATAAGACTGTTCATTCCTTTCTCAAATCAATTGGTTTTATGTGGAACTTATATGTTGGAAATCTTGGAGCTTCACACGTATAAAGCAACACTACAATATGGCCTGTATTGGCAATAGGTCGGCAACACCCAGGGGAAGGAGTTCTAGTGTCAAAGCATACCAGCTGAAAAGACACGGGTCCCTATTAAAGCTTTCCAAAGGAAGAGAGAAGAGGTATTGCCCCTCCCGCCCCACTGCTGCACTTCTTAAGATGAACCTGCCACCCACGGCACTGAGGTCCTGCCTCAAAATAGACCGCATTAATGGCGAGCAGCATGTTTGTATTATTGATGCCAAAGAAGCAAATGGTCTTCTCTTTCTGTACATTTAAGTCCTAGAATAAATCAACTACGACAAAATTTTATATCACATAATTTTTACTCATATGCATATGAGAAAAGTATTTGAAAGGCAATGCCGTTATAAGATCATTTTAACCTCCAAGATAAAGAGTGATATACGATAGAACAAATGATAAATGATCTACTTGTTCTTTGATAAATGTATACCTATATACATTATGTCTATCCTAAAGGCATGTTAGTAATCTTAATGACAATGTGTTTTACTGTAAAGATGAGTCTTATATTTAATTCTGAGCCTATAAAACACTGAAGGCACAAAGGAAGATACACATTTAAACGAGAGACAAAAAAACAGAACCTGGGTTTTTAAAACTAGGAGAAGGCACAGATTCACTGTGTAATAACAATAACACTGGGTAAATGTGATTTACAGCCTTCCTTCCATTTATGGTGTTGAAATAAAGCATTACCTGGTCATTCTTCTGGCATGTTCTATTGCCATTGAGCAGGTAAAAAAATGCTTCCTCCCCCCACTACCAGGATCCAAATTCTGCCTTACAAATCCAGCTAGACCAGGGGATGTACACTGGTACAGATAGGAGATGGAAACACAGGGAATCCGGGACCAGTAGTGAGAGTGGCGATACCGGGAGGGTGGAGGGAGGGCGGGTAGAAAGGGGGAACCGATGACAAGGATCTACATACAACCTCCTCCCTAGGGGACAGACAACAGAAAAGTGGGTGAAGGGAGACGTTGGACGGCGTGAGATATGACAAAATAATTTCTAAATTATCAAGGGTTCATGGGGGGAGGGGGGAGGGAAGGGGAAAAAGGAGGAGCTGATATCAAGGGCTCAAGTAGAAAGGAAATGTTTTGAGAATGATGATGGCAACAATTGGACAAATGTACTTGACACCATGGATGTATTATGGATTGTGATAAGAGTTGTACGAGGCCCCAATAAAATGATTAAAAAAAAACAAAAATAAAAAATACAGTTATTTTATTTTGAAATAGTTTTAGGTTTATAGAAAAATTGCAAAGACAATAACTCAAATTCACTGCCCTTGAGAACTGCCCTTGTGGGTTTCCGAGACTGTAGCCCTTTATGGGAGGAGCAGCTCGTGGTTTCCAACTGCTGGTCCTGGTGCACAGCAGCCCAACTCGTATAGCAAGTCCTTATATATCCCACTCCTATTTCCCTCCTGCTCACATCTTACATGTCTGTGTGTTACAGTGCCATAATGAATGGTGTTACCTTTCTAAATCATCACTGATTTCTACAATTAGTTAAATACGAATGATTATTCCTATTTATAGCATATCATTTTCCTGTTCCAGGATCCCATCCAGTAAAATGCATTATTGTTCGGCATCACATCTGGGGCTCATTGGTTATGACAGTTTCTCAGATTTAAAATAATTTATTTTTAACAACATTAATAATGGTTTTGAGGAGTTCTGGTCAGCCATTTTGTGACCTGAGATTTGTCTGATGGTGAGGCAGGGAGGGGCTACCTGTTTGGGGGGAAAAGACTAGCCAGGCATAGTGCCATCTTCATCACTTAATAACAAGAGTTCCTACCATCAACATGATTTATGTTTTCTTCCTTTTTCGTACTGTTTCCTGTGAAGAAAGTCATTATGTACAGACTGGGAACTGATGTTCCACCTCCCTGAGGCACAGCATCATAAACTACTTGGAGTTCAATTGCCTAAGAGATTTTTCTTTTTCTTCCTGTGTACCTAATCATTTATTTATATCAATATGGATTCATGGATATTTATATTTTATATCACACAAGAATATAGGTAATTTTGCTCAATGCTTTTCTAGCTTTGGCTATGGTGAGCTGTTTCAGTTGGCTTCTGTATCTTTTTTGACAAGCACCCCTATTGGATGTGTCTTTGTTTTTTGGCAGGGGATGTACTTCATTACTTTTTGACAGAATGAGGTGCTGCAGGCTCATTTTGTCTACTTCATGCCTTGGTCCTAGATTTAGACAGGTCCTGGATCCTTTATTAGCCAACAGCGTTAGAAGCCAGTATCTGGTCCTGGGGTGCGCTCATTGTTACTGGGGTTACTGACGATTTTAAACAATGGTATTTAAAAGCTTAATTCCTATCTTTCGGTTATCAGCTTCTAGCCAATTCAGGTTCATTTGCTAAAATATCTTTCTCAGCTATATCATTATACTTTACTCATATGGAAGATGCAGTCTTGGACCCTGGTCTTGTGGTGGCAATGGTTGCTGGGGCCCTAGCAATGGCCAAGATGATGCCCCTGGGGGAGGCTGTGCCGGGTTTACTAGCTTCAGGTCCACCTACACCCTGAGTGGCGTCAGTCCTCCTCGAAGCTAGGTTGGGTGCAACTATCCAAACAGGGCTGACAAGGTGGTGTCTTAGCTTGAAATCATGTCTCAAAATCGACAATGCTGCACTAAGTTTTAGGGTCTTTGAAAGGCTCTTCTGAAAAATCAACATGAGCACTTCATTTCCCGGATGTCTTGTGTGCTTTATTAAGTAAACTGGCAACATTTCCATTGGCAACATGAACCGTATCTTCTTTCTCATGCTCTAAACTAGTCACCAACTGGCCAGCTGATGGTGTTGGCAGTGAAATGGTGTGACTCCCACAGACAGTACGGCTTTCTTCTCTGCTTCTGGAGATTTCCTGATACGAATATTTCCTCTGTCTCTAAGGTTACTTTCTTTTAAGGCTTCTTTTGATATCAAAGAAACATTTTGAAAGTTCTTTGCAGGGGAGAAAGTCATTTATATCTAGTCAAATATGTTTCTACTCTTAACTACTTGAAATGTTTTTAATGGTGCAAGCCTCTTTAGTGAAATAGAAGTTTGTAAATGTAATATAGCCTTTCTGAATCTTTTATGGCAGTGTGACCTCTTGGACATTATTTAATATCTCACCCTCCTCCCTCCCTTTCCCCATCATACAAACAAACAAACTAAAATTCCAAGCACTGTTGATTTAGACTCACAGCAAGCCAACAGGACAGAGTAGAACAGTCCCATAGAGCTTCCAAGGCTGTAAATCTTCTGGGGAATGACAGATTGCTCCAACTTCATCCCCTGGAGCAGACTGATAGGTGCGAACCGTTAACCTTATAGTCAGCAGCCACGTACTCAATCACTGCGCCACCAATATGGAATATTTATAGCATTATGCTTAATGAAATTTAGTTATGTAACTGTTTTCTTGATAATAATAGATTTCAAGAAAATAAAATAGGCAGGTCTAAAATTAATATGCAGGAGTCCTGGTGGCAAAGTGGATTTTCAGTTGGGCTGTTGGAACCCACCAGAGGCTCCCCAGGAGGAAGAGCAGGCAATCTGCTCCTATAAAGATTTACAACCTCCCCCAGAAGAATGCACTTCAGAGGATAGCACTGATGTTACAGCTCAGGGTGAGGGTCACGCCTGATCAGAGCACACGCGAGAAAACGAAGGGGTGGGAGAGATTGGAGCACATTCTGGCGCACCAAGCCCTGAGGACAATATTCCTGCTGAGAGCAGCCAATGCACAGAGAGGACCATAGAACCGGCCCCACTATGAGACAAGACGTCCCTCACTGACCTATAGTGCTATGGGGGACAATATTGGAGACACAGTGCGGGAATTGTGCCCGATCTGATGCCACCACACCAAGGCAAAACACTAAGGCCATGCAACAGAACAGCAAGGGGAGCAGAGCAACGAAATCCCGAAGGAGTACCAAAAATAGACTTTGGGGCCAGGGCATGGCACCCCATCAGACTCGACTAGCAAGCACTCCTAAAGGTCAATAAACAGACCCTGACCTATTTATAGGCTTTTCCTTTTTTGTGTCATTGTGTCCTTTTTTGCTGTTGTTGTTTTGTTGCTTTGTTTTGCTCTATTTTGTGTGCATATTATTATCTCTGCAGGTCTATCTAGATAAAGATAGGCGAGATAAATAATCTAGAGGAGAAAACAACAGGATCTATGGTTCTGGGGGGGGCATGGGAGAGGGGGAGGGGGGGAAAGGAAGTGGTGTTAACAAACTCAGGGACAAGGGAACAATAAGTGATCTAAAATCAATGGCGAGGAGGGTATGGGAGGTCTGGTAGGGTTTGATCAAGGGCAATGTAACCAAGAGGAATTATTGAAACCCAAATGAAGGCTGAACATGATAGTGGGACAAGAGGAAAGTAAAAAGAAATAGAGGAAAGAACTAGGAGGCAAAGGACATTTAGAGAGGTCTAAATACAGGCATGTTCATATGTAAATATATTTATACATGTCGATGGGGAAATAGATCTGTGTACATATATTTATAGGTTTAGTATTAAGGTAGCAGATGGACATTGGGCCTCTACTCAAGTACTCCCTCAATGCAAGAACACTTTGTTCTATTAACCTGGCATTCCATGAAGCTCACCTTCCCGACATGATCGCTGAAGACAAAGCAGGTGCATAAGCAAATGTAGTGAAGAAAGTGGATGGTGCTTGGCTATCAAAAGATATAGCATCTGGGGTCTTAAAGGCTTGATGATAAATAAGCAGCCATCTAGCTCAGAAGCAACAAAGCCCACATGGAAGAAGCACACCAGCCTGTGTAACC